AATATTAGTGTTCATCAACAAAAACTTCAAAAAATTAAAAAAAAAAACCCAAAATTATATTGTTTTAATAAAACTAAAATACTTTCATTCTTTAAAAAAAATCTCAAAATTATATTGTTTTAATTAAACTAAAATACTTTCATTCTTACTTTAAAAATATATTATTTTTATCTTGTTCAATAAAATTTTATTGAAACAATATGATCTTTTAGTGTTTTTCTTCTTCTTTTTTTTTTTGGAGATTTGATTAACAAACACCTTTTTTTCTTCTTCTTCAATTGATCATTATATGATTTACTATTGTGATATTTTGTTTTTTATTTTAATAAATACATTTATATATATTTTAAGAATATATAGATTAATGAAAAAGACTACAAATGAATCCTTTTATAAAAAATAAGATTTAAAAAAAATTAATATCTTAAAAAAGATACTTAAAAAACTCAAATTTTTAACAATAATTCTTGTCCCCCCAAATTAAATTTCTTGGCTCCGTCGCATTGAGAAACATTACAAACTATGAGAAATATTAGTGTTTAGATTGTAAGTATAGCATTGAGAAACATTACAAACTGTCAGAAATAAACACCCCCTAATCAAATTTCTTATGGTTTGCAACCTAAGCAAAGGTTTCATTAGCAACACCAATTATTTTAATTTTTTTAATAACTTCTAATTGTTATTAATAATGAAATAAATAGACACTTGCAACACGTGTGGTACTTCATAGAATAGAAGTGCAATAAAGTGGAAAATTCAAACAAATGAAGGTTTTGCAATTTGAAAACCCTATTTTACAATATATACTGTAATAGACGTAAAATAACAATCATTAAATGAGAAAAAAAATCCTCAATATTAAAATTTTAACTCACATTTAATAATTAATATTATACAATTTAGTATAATCCAAATTACACAAACATTTTCTCCTTTATTTACATAAACAGGCACGAGTTCCAAGGAATGAAACAGCCAGTAAGGAGTATGGACCAAAACAAATTGGAACTGTAAGATGGGCCTGGGCTAGGGCCATGTACCCTTCTCTCGGCAGCAACATTTTTTTTCCTGAAGGCAGCCCAACTTCCCTTGGGAAAGAATATGTTTGCCCGGCCCTGGATTAGAACTGTTAGATTATGACTTAGCTTGATAACATTGATTTATAATTATGGTTGTAAGTTTTTTAGTTTTTTAATATTTTAAAAATATAAATAATATAATATATTTAAGAAAAAATATATATTAGTCTTGATTTTTAAAAATAATTAGAATATCAATCTTAAATTATATTATTTTATTTAATTAAAACTCAATTGAAATTTTAAAAAATTATCTCATTAAATATTAATTTTTAAATTTAAAAACTAATTATATTAGAATATAAAATAAATTTCTAAATCTAGATATCAATATTTAATATAATGAAATTTCAATTTTTAGATTTAAATTAGAACTTCAATTGTCTTTAAAAATGAGGATTGATAGACACTAATTTTATATATTTAATATTTATTTTCATTAATATTTTATATATTTTTAAAATAACAAAAAGATATAAAAAATAAAAAATAAAATATTGAGAAGCGTTTTCAAAGGAAGGGAATGAATTCAATTGCCTACTAAGCGAAAACAGTCACACATAAAATTGTTAGGCAGTTGTAAAATAAAAATAAAATTGTTAGGTAATTATGAGAAAAAAGACTAATATTTAGTGGATGTGAATGGTGACATGG